GTGTTGTGAACAATAATAAAAAATTGATCATCAGATATTTCTTAGAAAGTGACAGCGGGAACTATTTGTGTACTGCTGAAAATCGATTTGGAAAAATAGAAAAATCACAAAATGTTGTAATAATGGGTAGTTTCTATCATTACTAAGAATTCAGTAGTTAATCTACAATAACTTTTTGCTAATAATATATAATGTATGATTTCTCATTATGAAGTTATTCTTGATGAAAGATTTATTTAATGTTTTGGTTTCTGCTGGTTTTTGGTAATAAGACGCTGATTATTCTTATCTAATATATATTAATTTCGAGCTTATATGTATAGTACTCATAGAAAAACACTACTTGAATCACATTAAATGTTCATTACAATTTCATCAACATTTTGGATTTAAGTTTTTCCCTTCGAAAAAGGTACTACAACATTTATTTTTAGTATTACGTAATAAGCGGATTCAAATACATAGTAACAAATAACTTATTAGATAATTATTATAAAGTACCTAATGTACCCATGTTCAAGAACTCGTAAAGTATTTTTTATGGCAGAAAATCTGATTTATTATAAAATTTCCTCCAATCAAATGCATTTAGATAAAATTTGTAAATATTAGGTGAATAAGTGTATACGTATACCATGTCATATTTTGTGATTAAGTTAATAGATTATGGTAAATCTAGATTTTTTTTTTATTTTGAAATACTTATCACTTCTAAAGAATAAAATTCGATTCAGTCGACGATTTTAATAATTTTTTTTTTTTTTTCATGTTGGAAAAATCATATTATTGTTATAAACTCTACCAATTTCGGAATGTTCTAAAAAACAATAGTTTTAATTTATTAAATAAATTAGTAATGAGAGTGTGCGTGGGCGTAGGTTGGCATATTTATGTTTTTAATCATCAATACCTCAAGATATTCTCTCAACCTGTTAGCATTGGAGGTTGCAAAAGGATATGGCTATGGCACCAAATGTATATGTTCACTACCTATGAAGGTTCGGGAGGTTCGCCACAGTGCACTTCGTTTTTGTAATAAAACTATGAATGTTTATTGTAGTGACTCTGATTGTGACGATATCCCAGTGCAATACAGCTCCGATAACGACTGTTCATTATTTCGATGTACAAAATTCAAAGAGGAGCGGAGGAAAGAAGAAACGGCAATAAAGTGGTGTGCGCTTGGTATAATTCGACGTTTAGCGAAGTTAAACGTTTTTTGTAGCCACCGATGTACTGTCTGCCGTCGTGTGTCCTCGTCTACTATACCTACTGTTTCCCTCGGCTCATCTATAATTTCGAAGCTGTAATTCCGCATCCAAAGTGCAGCTGTTGTATCGCGGCTGTCGCCTCTGTCTGAGTACGTGTGCGCGCAGATTGGCTATTTTGGTCGTTGACCTAGACGGAAGGAAAAAGACTGGAGCCTGGGATTGATGATCGCAGGGATTAACTGCATACGAGCTCATGATTGGAGGGTTTTTTTTTTCTTCTATTTTTGGCTTAGAAATTGCAGATGGGACAGATAATTTAATGCTTTCCAAGACTCTACGTAACTATTTGTAGGAGGAGTGGGGTAGTTTTGGGTTGCATTGAGCCCAACATCCGAGTGATTTTCTTAATGCATACGAATTTTGTACACGAGAAACCAGATGCAGCTTTCAAGCAGTTGGAGTTTGAATTAGCATTTGCGGTGTGAGTGTACATTTATACACTTGCAGGTCAATAAAAATGCAACATTTTTTGTGATTTTCATACATTTGGTGACCGTATTTCAAACACATTTAGTTTAAAGAGAATAAACGCCAGTACACAAGTAAAAGTATACGATCAAGAGAGCGAGATGGGTTACAAAATGTATAAATTTTTGTATTATGTATTAAATGTATAGATTTTCATTCCTTCTTAATCTTCCCATTTATGCAGCGTCCGTACACTCAACCAAATCGCATTACCCGACTAAGCAAAGAATTCAAGCTCTCGCTCGACAGAAGAAAAAAAAAAAAAAAAGTACACCGTGGAAACAAAAAAGGGGGAGAGCCTGTATAGCCCGAGACCGCAAATTAAAGAAGAGTGAAAAAAAAAAGAAGAAGAATGTTTCAGAGCTCAGACAATTTCTGCGAGTGTCGGGGGTTAAGTGAGAGAAATTACCATCCCATTGGAGGTAAGCAAAGGTCGCCCTTCTCTCGAAAAAAAAGATCACGCAGAGAGTCGCGCAGCGTCAATTGCTCGCCAGTAGGTACTGTGCGAACCTCCTTTTCCTTCCTCCTCCTCCTCCTCCTCCTCCTCCTTGTTCAGCTCTGGTCCTTTTGCTCTGCAGCGCACCGTGATTACACCCATACATGCGGACAGAGAGAGAGAGAGAGAGAGAGAGAGAGAGAGAGAGAGAGAGAGAGAGGAAAAAAGAAAGAGGATTCTAAGCTGCTGTTGCGCGCGACCAAGAGCAAAGGAGATACCACACGCTCCACAAGAGTAAGCAAGAGAGGGGTAAGTGAGTATCGGTAGGTGGAGATGAGAGCGAGGACTGCGAGGAGGCTGCACATACACACACACACACACACACACACACACACACACACATAATTCATTATGCTCAAATCGTAATGTGAAAACTTGGATTGTTTTGATTCCATGAATAAAGAAGCAAGTGGTTTTAAGAGTTTAGATAAATTCATTGATTTATCATAGACAAACTANTATATATATAAACTTGATGATGAGGGGGATGAAGCAGGTCAAGGAATAAGGTATGGTGGCGGTGCAGGGAGGAAGGAGGTAAAAGTCGTACAAGGTGCGGGTATGTGTGTTATGGGCAGAGGAGAGAGAGCAGAGGTTACTTTTAATGTCTCGCGTCACGCAGCCCAAGGCATCGAAGCACAGGGCTGCCGTGGCCGCATGGCTCGTCTCCTTACTAATTTGGCGCCAATTTCCAGCAGCCACCCAAGCATATAAACTAAGACCCAACTGCGTGTGTACCATATACATATATATAACTGCATTGCTCGTCCCTTTTTGTACGTATACGCATATGCGCGTGTGTAATGTACACCGTAGCCCCTGACTCTTTGGCTCTCTGATTAAATGCTACCCGCGCCGTTTGCCGACCCTCTCTCTCTCTTTCCCTGTTTTGCCGTGTTCCCACACTCGCGCGGCGCGTGCAACTACCCACTTCTCTCTTTCCTCCCTTACGTACTCCCTTTTGCCGATACAGCTTCTCTTATTCTATCGACCGATACTGGACTTCCCCTCCCTCATACTCCGCTCACGTGTAAGTACCCGATGTAGAAGTGCACAGAGGAGATGTACGCGTGATATTACTGCCCACTACCCACAGCAGCGATCGGCAGCCGCGGCAAACGTAACGCGCGATCGGTATACAATTGAGGCAGAGATTCTTCTCCTGCGCACTTGTCGTTGCCCGGCTCCTTTTTCTTCCTGTTAACAGGCACATATGGGTAGCCATCTCTTTTACACGTAGATCTCTTACGTGTTTGAAGAATCGTGCGATCCCTGTGCGTTTGTTGAACGCCGATTTCCAACAGATTTCATGAGCAACGCGTATTGCGAAAATTTTAACTGCACCCGAGAATCTGTCTGTGCAAAATAAAAAAATATAACAATATACATGGACATCGAAGGAAAAAAGTGTCACTTCCCTGCGAAAGATAAAAAAAAAGTAAGAGGGCAACACAAGGGAGATCGGTAGTAGAGAGAGGTCCAAACATATACGTGCACGAACGACGATTACCACATTTTTGCAGCGATGATTCTTCCAGTTTCCACGGCCGATCTTTACGTGCCCGTGCGCATTTCGTTCTCGTTCACATCGACCTCGTCGTCATTTTTTGTATCCCTCCCGCTCGTTCCTCTTATTTTCAGTGGTTACGGCTGCAGCTCCCTGCCCCTCCATACCTATACGTACACGAGCCCGCCCAGCATAGACACACAGCCCAGTAGGTTCATCCACTACTGTTGTACGCGCGTATACACATGCACGTATGATAGGTAGCCATCAACCATCACCATCATCATCATCATCACGTATCAACATCGACACGCATATGTGGGCCCGACTCGGATCATGGCCTGGGAACTTCCGCGAAGCACCTCGATCTGTTGCGTCTTTGTAATTTCGCGCACGCCTCCGAGAGGATCCTGCCATCAGAGCCAGGGAGATGATGGATACGTTATGCTGATATATAAATGATTGCTGATGGCGCTGACGATGCACAGGCAGTTTTTCCCCTCTCTCCCTCTAGATAGCCACCGCGTTTCAATTTGATTTGTTTGTGTGCAGGTGTACCTGTATACCAAGAGGTTTTTTTTTTTTTGTTTTTTTTTAATTGTAATGCCCTTTTAATAAATTAACGTTCCAAGATCGGTAAATACAAACTGATCGGTATCAAACACAAAAATGTACCTTGGGAAAGTCGAAACAGCGTAAAACGCGTTGTTCTCCCTCAAACTCCATACCAATCGCTTCGATCGTCCCCAACACTGCCAATTAGACTCGGGAGGCCTAATTAAATCCCAACTTTGTCAGCTCCTCCCCATTTATCTCCCACAGCGTGTACCATAGTAACCACCGATCACCAAACGTTATACAGGCGTATTAACACGCCATGCATGTAAATACCATGTATATGTAAGAGAAAATAAAAAAAGTGTTTGAAAATCGGCAATCATCCTCATCACCAGCTAACTTCGCTATGATCGTCATGCATGGCACAGCAGAAGAAGAAGAAGCCGATCTCTTGAACATCGCCCGCTCTCTATAACCATACTATTGACTGGGACGCGTGAGCGCACCAAGACTCCGATAGTAGGCCAGCGTTTACCTACTCCTTCCATTGTATATATATATATAGAGAGTGCAGTATACCACCGAAGAGAGAGGGAGCGTTTAGAGAGCTTAGAGAGAAAAGGAAGAGGGGCCCTTTGGGTCATTAAGTAATTTCATGCCGATCATATAATTAATGAGCTCGACTCGGCAAGGAGAGACGATGGAGGAGGAGGAGGAGAAAGTCTGGCGCACGGCATGGCTACGTGGTGGCGGAAGTTTATCGGAAGTCACCTGGATCGGCCGTGACGTGCTCGGTTGGTGCTCGGCGGGCCTGCACCTCGTCTTCCTCGACGTAACAACCAACAGGCTGCGCTTGGTCCGTCCGGCCGACGACGCCATGGCTTCGGGCGTCTCGTGCCTGGCTGGCCACTTACGGTAATACTTCGAGTACACAATAAACGCAGCTATGAAGGGAGGCTAAGTGATTTTCTTGTGGGACCCTGTCCCCCCTCCTTTTTTTCTCTCTCTCTCTCTCATTTACGACGTCGTGCATTTTTATCGCGACGAAAATCGGGACTATCTCGTCGTGCCCGCTTAGCGATCGGCAAATTGATATCCCCGATCGGTAGTTAGCGTGTCCTGTTATTCTTCGTTTTTCATTCAAGGCACAAAGTGTTCGCCTTCGCGGATAAACACGTCAAGCCTCGGATCCACGTTTACGCGTACCCATCGATGACGAAGATAAGCGAGTGCCTGAAGGGCACCAGCTACGTGTACCTGGCCAGCGTCTTTGCCGGGGACTTTTTTGTGTCCCTGGGCTCGATGGTCGGCTTCCGACTGAGCATCTGGTCGTGGCGAACCGGTGAGAAGATCGCCAGCGTCCACACGCCCATCCACGACGCCGAGGAGTACGGCCAGGCCTTGAGGGTCAACTATTCGACACCACTGTTCGTCGCCCAGGTAGAATCGGATGGGATTTTTCTTTCCGATTTTGACGATTAAATGCATGATTTGAGATCCATCATATAACCAAACGACTCGTCAGATCGGCAACAAATCGGGAAGACTAATAACCTGGGAGGCGACGATTTGCAACTCCACTGTGCTTATGCACGAAAACGAAGTGGTCCTTCCTAAGAAAGAGCCCGTCAAGGACGTAGCTTGGTGCCCGGACTTGAGCGACCTCCTGGCCATCGTTGACAGGGACGGACACGTTTACCTCTGCGACTCGAAGGGCAACGGCCTCAGACGCATTGTGCAGTCTCAGCGCTGTGTCGAGTGCGTCGACATCGAACCGGTGGCTGTGTGCTGGTATCGCGGTGGAATCGTGCTGCGAACTACCTTCTGCCAGATTCGCTACTACCGCAGACGTGACGCCGATTTTTGGGCCAAGGTGTGGCTCGAGAAGATCGATACGCACCCCTGCGCCCTCACCTCACACCCGTACCGCGACGATCGAGTGTTCTTCGTTACCATCGAAGGTCACGTTGTACAGGTGAACTTTGTGGATGACTTGGAGCAGCCCGCGAGCCTGGCCGAGAAACAGTTCGTCGGTGGGAAGTATCGATTTGTCGATTTCGTACGTCCCTGGGACGATCACGTTGTCGCAATGGATGGCTCCATGGAGCTCTCGGTCATTCGGATGGACGTGGGTGTCGAGGTCTCGAGGGTTCCTCTGGCGCTCAGGGGACGTGCCACGGCCGTACTGTCGCATCCGGAGTATCCCCTCGTGGTGGTTGGCTCCGATGAGGGCGAGGTGTCGTTTGTGAGTTTCATCGACTGTCGGAAGCCGGTGGTACTTGGAAGCTGTTGGGTGCAGCTGCAGGCTCTGGATCTCCTGAAATTCTCGACCTCTGGAAGGTTCGTGTAGTAGAACCGGTAAGAGTTGCTCGTTTGAGAAGTCAATGGTGAAAAAACCGATCACGTGAATTGTTCATTGGATCGATTCGTATTCCAGATTCCTAGCAACTTGTCAAAAGATCACTGGGTTGTGCTTCCTCTTCGACGTCTCCTGTGCGAAAGCGATAAGCATCGTAGCGCAGTTGAACGTAGCTTCCAAAGTGGTCGACGTCATGTTGTTCGACACAGACGCGGGCCTGAGACTTTTCGTTCTCCAAAGCAAGACAGTTGTTCCAAAATTCGGATACAAGCTGTCACTCTACTTTCTCCCTAGTGGCGCTTCGAAGTTCCAGAACACCCTGAAAATCTTTCTTCATTCAAACTTTTACCAACGATTGCACTGCGTCCCCAGTGAAACTGGCGTCTTTGTTGGTTCACCTTATTTGACCAAAAAGTTGACGTACTTCAGAACCAATGACTGGAAAAGCATAATCCTGTCCGATGTCTCTTCGGCTGAGCACCACGTGAGGCAAATCGAAATATCTATAAGTGGAAAATGGCTCGTCACCAGCGCTGCTGATGGTCTTGTGGTCGTTAGGGATGTGACCAAAAAAAGGCACCATTCGCGCATTATGACTCACCATCCGAGCGACCTTGGCGTATCTAAGGTAATCATCGATTCAACTGGTGACTCGATGGTAGCTCTTGGTGCCGATGGTTCTCTGGTCGCGGTAAGATACCACAAGTCCACAGTTGGTCCAGTCTTGGATGATAGATACGAAAATTTGCAAGAATTTGGCCGTTTGGACTTTGACGATTACGGAGCTAGAATGGACGATAAGAAAAAATTGAGTACCAAGGTTGTAGAGATATTATCTCAGCCGGTGCGGATTTTTGACAACTCCACAAAATCGCCCAATGTTCCGTGGACCGTGTGGAAGGAGCAAAAACGGATCGAAGAGGAAACCAAAATCTTTGCTGACAAGAAAGAGTCTCTGGTGCAAAGTTTTACTGCCCTGAAGAATCGAGTTGTCGATCTGTTGGACAAGAACGAGATCTCTGCTGAATCAAAGAAGCTACCGACCTTGGCGTTTGAGCTGGACAACGTCTACCGGGAGAAAAAGATCAAGAGGGCAAAGGACGAGCGCGAAGAGGTCAGGCACGAGCTGGGGTTCAACATGCTCGAGATGGACCGGGTCTCTGGATGGATCAGGAGCAAATTCTGGGAATCCCAGAAAATACTGGGTCGATCGATTTTCGGAATTTTCGACGACACGGAAGTCACCAATTACGCGATGTCCAAGGAAAGTGCCAAGACGTTGGACGTTTTTGAATACGCTCGGGTTTTGCGCGACATCGTAGTCGAGTTGACGGGCGAGGATAATGTTTTTCCTTGGGACACTCGTACCGATGCCGAACTCAGGATTGAGTTCGACAAGCAGTCCAAAGTCAGAAGGAACAGTACGGAACCAGCGATCGATGACATTTCCCATGAAGGCGAATCAGAGACTTTCAGAAATTTCTACGAAGGTAAGGTACACAAAGCACAAGAAGATGAAGAATTATCTCAAAACTTCACCAAAACACAGTTTAATTGCACGTACAATTACTACTCCCGTATTATGAACGCAGGTATGACAACTCACCGTTTCATCGAACCCTGTGCTCTCTACTGTTCCCAATTCAAGATCTACGCTTACTCGCAATTCGTGAGCGACAATCACAATATTGTCAAGGACACGATGAGACTACGAGAGTACTTCAACAAGCATTTTGCTGACATTCAATCCATGAAGGAGCGGGAGATGAGCTTGATCCACGAGCGCGTGGATCGGGTTCTGTTCATTGCTTCCGAGCTCGAGTCCATGTTCAACGAGTACGTCGAGACAAAAGCCACGCATCCCGAGTGGCAAGCGAAAGAGATACCCGAATCCATTGTCGAAGTGACAGATCGCGAGTTGACCACGAGACCATACGTAACGCGCTCTTATCAAGACATCTTGGACAAACAGGTGAGTTACCCTAGGGAACAGCTAGAATCGAGCGATGAGGAAAAACTTACCCACACAGACGGCAGAAGAGGAGAGAGCCAGACTGGCAAGGCTGGCAGATGATTTTCGCGAGCGAGCATTGCAAACGATGATGGACGGCGTACTGGAGGTTCGCTGGGAGGATATAATCAAAAAAGACCCCGAAAAACCCGAATGTCTGGCCATTGGAAAATCACCTGATGACTACACAGAGGGAGACGCTCTCGCGGTCAAAACGTACCAACAAGAGTTGGACCACCTAACGACGCAACGGCAAAAATACCAGGCAATTTTACGAACCGACTACGCAAAGGTCAACGCTACGCTCGACGAGAGCATTGAAAAGTTCAACTCACGGCTTTTGGAGTTTCATTTGGTGAGTATCAAACATTCGAGAAAATGCGAACGAGGTAGTAGCTACTTTTCCACGTGGCGCTTTCAGCTGAAAATCCAAGTGGAGTCGGCGATACAGCAACTCAATTTGCGGTACGTGCGGTACTTTGTGCGTCACGTACATCGGTTGAACGAGCTGAAAGAAGCCAACGAAGTGAAAGCCCGGATGAACGCAAAGTACCAAGAGTCAGCGACGATCGAGGAGGAAATACAAACCATCAAGAACGTGGAGCAGGAGCTGCTGAGCCACTACGAAGACTTGCAGTCCAGGGACAAGCTGATGGAGAAGAAAGCCCAGAGCGAGTTCCCTGGGTTGGGGAAGAAGGCCGTCGCAGGGCTGTTCCAGCAGTACAGGAGGCGACCGCGGGTCGCTTTGAAGAACACCTCGGCCATCGAGGGTCTGGACCTAGGTAGGAGTATCAAGTCGAGGGTGAAGCTGCCGTACGTGACGTCGGAAGGCTTGGACTACATGAGACACCTGGACATTTTGGATGTCCACCCTGCTGCCCTGCACCAGTCCATCGAAACCCCCCACTGGGAAAGCCTCGTGCATCTGAGACGTCTGAAGGTAATTCATCCTCGATAGATCGGCCAAACCAATAATTCCACGAACGTTTGGCCAGATCGACCACGAGCTGAAGCTTAGATCGGTAGAGCGGAATCTCGGAGTGGCAGCCAGCATCGTATCGAGCTTGTCCCTCCGGCAGTCGTCGTTACACGTCTCGATCGCGTCGATGAGCGATCAGTTAAGACAATCACGCGTCCAGCGAACCGAGGCTGACCTTAACACCGAGCTGCAACTGGTTTTGAAAATGGGTCAAGTGGAGGACGAGCCGTTGGTTGGCAGTCTGGCTCGGGATCTGCAGCACGCGATCGTGGTGCCACGGCGCGGCCTTGATCGGGTCAACGAGGCGCTCGTCACCGCGGGTGGAAAGAAGATACGCGAGATCGAGCGCAACCTGGAGTTCAGCCGAGGTATCCTACTCGAGGAGTGGGAGCACCGCTGTATGGGGATGAGGATGGATCACATGGCCACGATGCTGTACTACGTGAGAATGGCCAACGTGACGAGGGAGGTTCAGGAGTACCTGAGGAGGAAAAGGATCGGCAAGGCAGACGATAAAACGGAGATGAAGTTGCAGAGAAGCGTAGAGGGGACGCGCAGGAATCTAGAGAAGGTGGGTCCGGAGATTTTTCTACAATTTTACTAAAATTACGCATCGAATCACTCAAAAGAACAATATTTTCCTATATTAAGTAATGTTAGAATTTTGTTTGTTTACTTAATAAAAATACTGTAAGGAAGAATCCATTGATGAGTATTACAAGCATGATAAATTAAACTTTAATAATAAAGTATCAGCGAAGTTGATCATTTTTAATTTTATTTGCATCCAACAGCTCGTGAAAGAGTGGGAAGAGAAACTGAGCAGCGTTAGCGAGGAAGTGTTGTGTATTCAGCGAAACAACAAAAAGCTGGACGAGAAAATCGTCAGATTGAACGTCGACAGGTGTGAGCTGGAGTTAAATAAGGAATACGACTCCGAAGCAAGATTCAGAGAATTCAAAGATACACTAGTCAGGATTTTTGCCAAAAGATCTGCGGTGGCTAGGAAGTTACTAAATAATTACGAGCAGATCTTGAAAATGCGAAAACAGCTTAAAGTCATGATTTGTCATGCAAATCAGCCTTCAAAGTTCACGATCCAATTCCATGATATTGTTGAGTAAATAATTTTGCCTTTATTATATTCATAAATTCAAGAAATAAAAATATATTTAAAAAAAACTCTGCAGAATTTAATTCTGTTGATGCTTTTTTATAATATAACACTAATATTTGTTATTAGTAAGGGTGTTATGATTCCCAATGCCATACTTGTATGAAACGATGTATAAAACAATTAATTAGAAAAAAAAATTTTTTCACTCGAAATATAACGTAAGCTCTAACGTTATAAATAAAACACTACAAAATATAAGTAAAAATCAAAAAACACAAAGAAAATAACTTACAAAAACCATAAATATGTAAAAAAATAAATTAATCTATTAAGGATGAAGGAAAAATCAGGGTGACCAGACAACGTACATATATGTATATTTGAACGATTTATTTTCTTAGGATGCTTATGCTTACAATGATATCAAAATACTTTGATGGGTAATCACAGTTTGTCAAAAAATTATTAGAATTATTAAAATATTTATTTGGATTCTCAGCTCATGTCGTTGGCTGTAAGGGAGCCGTTGAGTCCACCATTCTCGGAAAATCATTCCCAGGTGGGAATCTTTGGAGTAAAGATACAAGTCCTTGTTTCTAATCGTTGCTTAAACGAAAGGGAGAGCATTTCACATTTTCGTTAAACCTTTGAGTTATGATGTACTGCAAACCCTTGACTAATCGTTGAACATCCATTATGATGTCATTAACTAATGTTATCTTGATACAAATTTCAAATGTAGCAATCATTTCTATCGTACATACATTTGCTTTCATGACTTCAAACTACACGGATATCGCTTTTTCTTTGTTTTTAAAAACTTTAAATAATTTTTACCAAAGTTTACTGTTTTTATTACAACATAAGTAACAATTCACGTATATTCCATCACATCATTAGACAGTAAAAAATAAAAATCAATACCTTAAACTCCAAGTATAATAAAACAACTGTTGTTTTACAAACTGTTATACATTATTATAATCCTGGACATAAAAAGGTAAGTCTTTATACAAAAATACTATTTTTAGATTAATAAATATGAGTCATATTTTATTGAACCACAAGGTGTAATCAACATATCTCCACCAAAGTTACAAGTTACACCAAAGTTTAGTCGATAATCCTATTTAGTTTTCTAAGTAGATTATTATAAATATTGGACACCCAATAACCTCAGAACTTTAAAGCATTCCATCCATGTTGTTTATTGTTAAGTGATGAACAAAAAAGTGTCCAGTACTATTTTTTAACCTTTAGATATCAAAACATGTTTTGTTTCATGTTCTAGTATTACCAGGTTTAATAACAATGTCTGTTTATAGATAAAATACGTCATGAGCTTCTCACTCAAGTAATCCATCCTTGTCTTCTATTGTGTTCGTGGCAAACGAAAATGTACGTATCCAATACTCTCATATATTTTTTTCAAAACCTAACAAATTTTTTTTATTATTCTAATTTTATAAGGTGTATAAAATTTATTAAATATAACTATTAAAATCTTAAAGAATTTCCTAGTTACGTATAATAAAGAATAAACATTAAAAATGTTTGATGTTAAACGTATTTATACTATGATAATAGTATTAATATCACTTCACTATTTATGTTACTTTCTAACAATAACATTTTTTAATAACGTATAACAATACAACAAATTTTCAATAAAATAATATAAATTTAATTGATAACAATAACTCATAGTTAAAAATAAACAGTGTAAATAAATGTTATTTGTACTTTCTTTCTTTGTCAGGATGGCTCTATTAAAAACTCTTGCTGCCCTTTTGGTAATTCAAGGTAAGAACTATTTATTGAAATATTCTGCTAATGAAATTATTAAGCTAATAACTTATACTTGGAATTTTTTTTTGTGTAAAAATATTTCAGCTTTATGTTAGTTATAAAAAATAATCCATCATTATTTTTAGTAAAATTGACTGAGTTACTAAAAAAAAAAAAATAAATAATAGTAAATAAATAACGACACAATTTATCCTTTGAACTTTTAAAAAAATTATTACGCTGCAATCCTTACTTATAAAGTAAAAGAAAATCAATTAATGCAAATGAATTATTACAATTAAATAGTTAATAAAATATTTTTGTTAAAAGTTACTAGTGCCCAATACGAAGGAGCAATAATTAACACAGAACAGCTTCCGTTCTACGTACTGGTTGAAACAATCACGGCCAGCGGTTCAAAATTTTGGTGCTCTGGAGCACTTGTCAACAATAAATATGTCATAACAAACGCCCACTGTTTATATCATTTCGATTCAAATAAACCCAATGTTATTGTTGGTGGTAATTCACACGTTGACAAAAAGGCAAAGATAATCCGCACAAATGAAACTTTTATTCACACGGACTATAAATTTGAGTAAGAGATTCATTCACAATCATATTGATTTTTAAACTAATTCAAGTCTTTTAAATATTTTTAGTACCGATGAACATGACATAGCCGTCATGCAGTTGAACTCGAAAGTGGAATTCAGTCCATTCGTGAGAGCCGTGAATCTACTCAAATTCAATGAAGTTGACGAAAATACAGAAATCATGCTAGTTGGCTACAGGCGTGAATCATCATCGGGTGGCCCCAGAGTTAGATTTAGCATAGTCCTGGAAACAAGTAAACCAGTATGTGAGTACAAGTTGAAGAGAGCTTACTTATCCACAGCTTTGTTGCAAGGGTCAAGGTTTTGCATCGCTGATGATGATCTTTACACGGTAAACATTGGGTGCATGTGTATATTCCAAAAAATCGATAAAAATCGTTTTATTCAACTTTTGTGTTCTATAGGTTCAGCACGGCGACATTTTGTTTCAAAGGAATGGTGACAGTGTTGTACTCATTGGACTCGTTTCTGCAAATAATATTTTCAATACTAGAGTTTCGGCTTTACATGACGAATGGATTGTAAATCTGATGGATGATGGGAAACAAGAGGAGAACAGTATCGTTCAAGATATAAACGAAGGTAAGTAACTAAGGTCTTTTTTGTTTATCGTAGGTATATTTTGTACATAAAATTGTTACACTGATCCTTTTAAGTTTACTTCACATGCTAATGAATTCCAAGCATAATATAAGTGATATTTTGAAAGTTTTCACGAAAAATAATACATCGATGATTGACTTGAAAGTAAAAAGATAGAAATCATCACTTAAACATTATTAGATATATTATTAAAACCATCGTTATAATTGTACGCATTGAATACTAGTAGTATTACAGAGTATAAGCTGTACAGGATAATATTTTCGTATGATGTTCTTTTTGAAAATGCAGCATAACACATAAATTTTTTAAATTTTTACGACTACAGTAGTTCATGGAAAATCCATAAAATGTCACTTGTAGCGAAAACGTCACGTCTTGATATTGAACTAAACAATTTTTCGAGCTAATTAGGCGATTTTTTTCTATTTTTTGCAGAAACAAAAGTAAAAGTCGAAAATGTATTAACCACCAAAGAGGAGCTGACCAATTTGTTTCGTGATCTATTAAACAATGACGTTAACAATGCCTTTGAATACATCGACATATTTGAAACAGGCATCGTGCCTATCGATTACATTATCGGGTAAGCATTTTGTTATTTTCATTCTTATATTATTTTAAGAATCGGTTAAGGGTTCAACATAATCACTTTTAACTTTTTCGCCCTCGTTGTCATTAATAGATACACAGTGAAGCCGGAAGCTTTTGAGATTCCAACGATCAAAAGCTTTTTGTCGATCTACCAGAAGTACTACCAAAAATCAGGGGTAGAGAAAATCGAAACAAAGGTGGAGCTCAATGACCAAAAGTTGCTGATTGAGACATTTCTCAACACCACCGTACTCTCGACTGCGATGGGCTTTCTCGGCGAAAAAGGCTTCGTCAAAAATGACTTCGACGAGTACAAGAAATCTCTGCGCAACTTGTGGTTTGAGCCATACAATGCTTTCGTACATCGTTTCTTTGGACATCGCACACCTCGTTTCTCTACACCTGACTACTCCAAAGGTATACGTGATACCAAATCTTTTTATTACTGGAAACTGTGGCAAGAAAAAAAATTATACTTTTTTTGAGATGGATGTACCTGTTCTGGGAATTTGTGTCAGCGCATGTTTTTAAACTTTATGACAATCATTCATTTTGTCTCGGAAAAAAATGTACGCTGGGATAATTAATAATAAGGACATGTGCGAGGATCCCATACATTATTTTAAAGATGTAAAAAATTTTAAACTTAAGTTGGTATTTCTCTAGGCCGGACTTTCAGCAACTGGATCACCATGCATCTAGAAGAGAAAAAACAAAAAATGGTTAAAAATGTTAGTCCGATGATGACGCAGAGTTTGAAGAGTTACAATGTAAGTTTGCCTTTTGCCTTCTAAACCTATATGGATTTCTAAAACAAAAGGAAAATTTTTTTTACAACGACACGAAGTGTCGTTGATTTTCGCTTACATTGATTTATTTTTGTTTTTAGTCAAAAAAAGCTGTTTAACATAGTTGCGTTATGTTTCTAGGGAGAAAACACGGCGATTACGTTTCATTTTTACAAAATCTTTGGAAATCAAACTCTAGAATCGTTGCCTACGAAAACGATGTGCATCTTGCTTGGTACGTCACCCGAGTTAGAGATGGCCTTGTACACGGTCTGTGCTTACATGAGTCTCGACGGTCATTGCAACATCGTGGATTTTATAGCATCCGAGAACAACATATCTTGGCTAAATGTAACATGTGCCGTTGATTAGACCCTAAAATCGTTCGGAAAACTTTGTACTCGACAGTAGGGCTGATTTGAGGTATAATTTGTGAATGATGTGCACCAATATAACAAGTGGCCAGATTTATGCTACGATTTGATAGTTATGATGTAAAATTGACACAAAAATCAATAATGGCGTTAAAAAATTTGATAATTTGTTTTAACTTCCATAAATTAATACAACATTTTTTCATGGATAAAGTTTTTCTAAATTAAAAAAAAAAAAACGTGTGAATGAAATAAATATCGACTCCTAGGCATTAAAATCATTCTTTGGTGTTGAATGTTATTAGTTGAGGGTAATATAAGCTGAATAATTGTTACGTGGATTAGCGTATAAATCGATGATAATACGAATCAGCCCTAAAAAGTAATAATTTGACAAAGAATTTCAAACGAAAATCATTATCAAACTAATAAGTATTTTTAACTGTGAACTATAAATTTATGCACCTGCACCACTGCAATTTTTAATTTTTTGACTTAGTATGTTGTTTTATGTTATTTTATCTAAAATTGCATTATTTTAGAGGTTAGCTAATTACTTAAATTTTTCTAGTACTCGGACTAATTGAGATATTACTACAAAATTTTGAAATCCCATAGTCTTCATCAAAACAGAGTATGAATGCAATAAAAAAAAAATTAATTCCGCTCCATAAAGGTAAGAGAAGGTATAAATAATATGATAAAATTGATTCTCAAGTTTTTTTTTTTTTTTTGCACAGAAATTTCCCGATACAGAATAAATAGAATGACGTATTCGTGAGGTAAGAGCAACAATCACATAATATAAAGGATCCATAATGATAAAGTGAGAATTGGTAAGCTTGTAATCAGTTTTAGTGATTCTACTCGAATTTCTTAACATTATTTGAAATGAATCGCAAATTATTTACTCACAACTGGGGGATAAAATTTTTTTGGGCTCTCTGGTAAAAATCAATTTTCAAATAATCCTGCGTGTCTCGTGCTGTCTAGTTTACCCAACAAACGGGGGAGGAGTAGAAACGAGAAGCCGAAAGCTTGAAAAATCGCCACGAGACGCTCTCGCCAGAACAAGCCCATACGGCTATCTACACTGGATTTCATTTGTTTGGTCGTACATATACGTATATATACACAGAAAGAGACCAGGAAAAAAGGAGCACTCCAATCAATGCAAATCAAATCGGGAGAGAACAAGAGAGCTGTCGTAGTTTATAGAGAGCAGGAACCGTTGCCTCATTGGCCCAACACGCATTCACAGCAACTGTAGTCAAATCAGCCGCGTAAAAAAGCTTCATGAATGTAAAAGACCCGTGAATGCAAAATGCGGAGGCGAGAGAGCCAATCTGGTAATGTGCCACCGCTCTTTGCTAACCTCATACAAACACTCTGCCATTTAACAATACTGAGCTTTTTTTCACGTATTGTTTTATTTCCTGGCATCGATCCGAAATGATTGCTACATGATGCGGCTGGGCGTTTTTTTTTTTTTTTTTTAAACTCGACCTAACTTGTACGCAGGTGGTTTTCCCTCTTTTCACTTGACAATCCCGTCCTTTTCGTCTTGGTCAGACTGTTTTCGAATCTTCTGGTCGCTCCGAAGAAAATCGTGTGCTCTTAACGATGAATCCCGTACATCGAGATCGAAGAAAGCTGAAATTGTTTTGTCTTAAGCTCGATTTGCAACACGAATCGATTAACCATGCATTCTGGCGGTATACCATCATTCTGTTTGTACTTTAACCCTTCCGAGTGCTGGTCGTCCGGAACAATGGTTTCGCATTCCTTGATGCCACGGCAAGTCGTTCGACGTCGATTAATGCACGTAGAGCTTGCGACGAAGGAATCTTTGAAAACAAAACACTTGACTTTAAGGTTACCAACTGTCTACCAACTACAACGACATTGAATCTTGCACAATCTTACTTTTTATTCGTGGGCTTACTGCGTTGATTACTACCTTTGCTGCGAACATGATACGCCGGGGTGCAGTGTCCTGGATTTTATTTTGCAATGTATAATATGACTCTCGGATCAACTACCGAAGGGATACCGGAATTTCGCGCACTCTGAAATCAGCGTTCGTCCATCTTTTGGAATAATACACGCAACGCGAGAGTGATTGTGTGGGAAGCACCACCAAGACCATGATTTGATTTCCAACCGAATTATAAAAGTGTCATGTTTTTCATCCATAGGGCACAGGTACCGTATAGTCCTTTGACTCGTACCTCGTTGGACAATAGCTTCGCCTGTTGTGAGCTGTCGATAAAAAATAAACGGTATGCTCGCGAAGTTTCAGTAAATACCGCAAAAACCGGGGAAAAAGCTAGCGCGAGAAAATGCAAAGTAAAGGGTACAACTGGTGGCTCGCGAGTGGCAGAGGAAAACGAGCGAGTCTCTTTGTCTTACCGTCACTGCTGGGCTGTCGCTCGAGAGAAAACAAAGCTTCGGGCAGAAAGGCAGGACAAGAGCTGCGAGACCTTGTCATTACATCGCTCCTCCTCTCTTTTCTCCCGTTTTACACTTTTCTCTGGTGCAACAGTGACCGTAAAGAGACAAAGAACCACGATAACTTTGGGCTATAAACTCTCTTTCTCTTTTCTTTTTTTGCTTTTTTTGCCAAGGGCCAAAAGTACCCAGCAAAAAACATGAAGCGAAAAAAGAAGTGGGAGGACCACAACGTTAAGAGGAACGAGTACTCGAAGCTGCCGCTGCAGCCCACGGCCGATGGACAGCAGAACGGTGGCAGGTTATCGCGGGTGACGAAGTGCACTTGCGCGTGCTCGACTCGGGATTTTACGATTTTTCCGTGCATCCCGTTTTCGACTGTACTCGACTGTTTTTTTTATGATGGCCGTAAAAAAAAAAAAAAAAAAAATTACTTATAGTGATTGAGGAGTTTTGAAATTCACGAAGAAAGAGCTTGGGTGATGGGTTCTAGGAAATGCACAACCGATAAATTGGTGATTTATAGTGTATTTATGTACCAACAACATGATAATATCAACACTTTGAAACACGTAATAATAATAATTATAGGACACCATTGTTTACAAAAAAAAAATAGTTTTTCTTTTCTTTTCCCTTGGGGAAATTGTACACAGTAGAACTTTTTACTAGTCCATTTACTCCTATTGAAACCATAATTTTTCAGCTGAAAATTGAAAAAAATAGTATAATATGACTAACATAGCGAGTCAAATTGTTGCCGATGACGAGCACAATGCCCATTACAAGCACAAAGCTACGTAAGTCGACGCGAGGTGCATTAGGCAGATCTCTCTGCCCTGTCGAAGAGCGACGACAAGCGGAAAACCCGATGGCGTACTCGATGTGTTGAGCGTGGACATGTGCCAGCCAGCCAGCCAACGTGTACACGTAAGTATATATACACGCGCGGTCTTATTCGTACTTTCACGGGCTGCCGAACGCATACACGAGACCCTGACGTTTATACCCCCTGCTATACATAAGCTGGACAGTGGTAGCATTACCATACGTACGGTAACCCCTCCACCCCATTTCCCGAGAGCATTACCTTTGTTCGGCAGTCTGTACCCTCGTGTACGTGTGTGTAGCCCCCGAAAGAGATGGCCAATAAAACGAACGTTCCACGATAGATAAATTGTAAGTTTTTGTATATACGTACCACATAGGTGGGGTACTGTGCGAGGGAAAGCTTCGTCACCCTCGTCGTTTTCGCTGGATTTCACTTGAGTCGAAGGGATGCGCGCTGCACTTTGCCCTGAAGCTCACAAGTACGTTATAGGAGGTATACAAACGCTGACACCGGAGCTTTTGGTTACCTTCTCTCTCTCAACCTTAATTTTACTGCACAGCTGTGTCCAGCACAGTTGTAATGTAAGCTTAGGTGCCCACTAGCTGACCGAAATTTGCAAGAGTATCGAAAACCGAGCGGTGTTAAGTCAATTACTTTTCTCAATTTTTGTTGAAAAATGCGTGAATCACAAGTACCCGAGAGCTTTCTTACTCTTTTCAAATACCTGGTCCAATCGAAGGAGTAAGTGTTCATATACGCGTGCACCCACAACACACCACTCGAGATAATGAAATTCCAAAGACTTCCGTCACACCACGCACCTTCCTGAGAGAATATCAGCCGATTAGCTTGCAAGCACGCGTACCTTGTTTATACGTGTACGTATCAAACATCGTGAAATGGACAATATTTACAGATCAAAAAATTTGTAAAATTTGTTCTTCGAGATGATTCGCTGTTTGGCACTTGCCAACTTTTTACAAATAATTCTATTTACTCTGACGCCATTTCGAATATGTATTTTGTATGTTACAAACACTCACGAAGCAGAGGCTTCGCTCTGAAATCGATATTTTTCGCCTAAAAGTAGTTCAAAGCTTCATACGCCCGTATCTTTGTAAGTAATGGATGTAGATGTACATCCTATACCCTGTCCAAAGCGTTGTTTTTCTTGTTGTTTCTTTTTTTATAGTTAAATGAGCAAGTATAGGGGTATATATGGGCACCCGAAGTAAGGTAATCGCGCCCCGTTAGCCGTGCCCTTTTTCGTTCGAAAAAACGCGACCGCGTGTATTTATATATATGTACGTATGCATGGTCCGGGGCTAGCCAGCAATTTGCATGCCCTTGGCTCGCGATCGATGATTCCCACCGTATCTCTTGCCTCGTGCGTGTGTGCACGGACTGTCTTTTTCTCTCGCCCAACCCAAGGATCCCATCACTCGACCCCGTGCTTGGTATTCAAGGGTCCATTCCCGAAAAAAAAGGTAAAAAATCAGGAGGAGGAGAAGGAGGACGGAATCGAAGCTGGCTCTCACAGCGATGGGTGCAATCTTCTAATGCGGCGGATCCTTTTCGTCGCGTGAGCCTGAGAGCTGTGGTTTTTTACCGATTCCGAGATTACGGGTAAACGATCATGAAATACACTTTGTTTCTTCCCCCCTCTCCCTTCCTCTCTCTCTCTCTCTCTCTATATATCTCTATCTCTCGTTTAA